ATGCGTCAATTGAAATCTTCGATGCCTGAGTATGAATTCGACAAATTTACATCCCAAGGTTTTTTTACCGTCAGAAGAACTCCCAAGTTTTGGTCTGGAAATTGGACTGATATGACCATAGAGCAATACTTGATGAGATCTATAAAAACTCAGGGCGGACTCACGCACGGTCGTGGATGGTCGGAAAGTGTTCTAGCAAAATTTATTTTAACTATGATCATTTTAGTTGAAGTATGTAACGAGATGGAAGATTTTTGCAACGTATCTTTTGCAACCACGGAACAGCATATAGATTCCAAAGAATATCGAGTTGCAAGAGATATAGCTAACCTTGAAAAGTTATTGACTTTTTTCGATCGTTATGACCAATTTCCAGCTACTGAAAACATTATTTCTATTAGTCTGGAGTTATCGGCGATGAGACAATCAACTGTTATAAAGCGCGTGAAGAAGGTGAAAAATGTATGAAAGCAATACTTGGAAATAATTTTGGTACCGTTAAGTTGCAAAGAAAAAATTAAGTGTTATCTCTCAAAGCACTTCAATCATCAGTAAAAGTTGATGGTGTTAAAGTAGTGATCAATCCTTTATTACTATTCCAGAGAATTTCACTAAATATTAACAGCAAAGATGATATGAAAGAGTATTTGAAATACGAACTTGCACCATTTCCTCTCTCATTATTTACAGAAAACGGACTTAGAAAAAATACAAAATCAGACCTGTACGATGAATTTGTAAGCATCGAAACTTTGCCAGTGTCCGATAGTATTATATACGTTATTGACGGCGGATTCTTATTACATAAAGTCATCTGGCAAAAGAACGATACCATTGAAGAAATTGTAAAGAAATATATTATATTAATTATGTCAGAAGTCACTATGCAGTTAATAGTTATATAGTATTCGATGGATATCCCGAAGTAAATAAAACTGCAACTACAACGCTCGCAGCATCTGCTTCCACTTCGATTGGCACGAAACAATCCGAACGTTCACGTCGTAACAAATCTGCAAACGTTCCTACATTTGAATATCAAGATATAAGCAAAATTCCGTTCTCACAAGACAAATTTTTATC